CGGTCACCTGCACCAACGTCACCATAAGAGATGATTTGGAATATAGCTTAGATTTTCCAAAAGATGATAAAATTGTAATTCCTCAGAAGAGTGCGGTTCTCTCGATGGGTGAGGACAGGGTCAGCCTTGTGGTCACAGCTTTGGCGTAAACCCTTCAATCGACGCCTGTCAATCGGCCATTGATCACGGACGTGCCGCCCTTGGCGGCTCCCTCTGAATATGCCAGAACGAGCCGGGCATGTGGCAAAACCTCAATACTTGTCCTCAGAAAGTGTGTGTGTGAATTAATGCATCCTTGACTGGCAACACTGGCCTGTCATGCAGCTGACGGATGAGAGAGCATGAGAAAGCATTTCCACCCCCAGCCCCCCCCCCCCGCCCCCTCCAGGGTGAAACCCTCTGTGACCTCAGGTAAACGCAGTGTTCCCGCAGTGCCGGAATAAGCACATATCAAAACCCTCAGGCCCCAAAGTCCTGCAACTGAAAACTTTTTTTTGGATCTCGTCCTGGACTCCTTGACATGCTTTGAACCCACCTCTAGAGTTCTGGGTACAGGCGGGGGCAGGGGGGTGGGGGCGGTGTTTTGGGATGGGAGCTACACAACCAGGGAGCCTTAATGAAAGATAACTACCACCATGTCACTGCCCCACCCCCCATCATCAGAGTGGTCAAACTCTGTGAGATGCACTTATGCCCCAACCCTCCCCCACTCTGATTTGACTGAGCACCACATCCCACTGGCCTGCTTATAAAAACAGATTTAGTTTTTGCCTCCATTCCACTCTGCCTAGAGATGTGGCAGATCAGGGGTGGGGGGACTCCGATAGGCTGCAGACCCCAAGCCTGAGAGTCTTACATCAGTCAGATACAGCTTGTTGTTCTTGTAAACGCTCCTACTTTCAGAAGACCATGTTCTCCAAACTTTCAGCGCCCTGCTGTCTCACCGGCCCTTTGTTAGAACACACAGATCCAATTCCTGTCATTAGAACATGCCGGAAAGTGTTCCAATAAACAAGCAGAAGGCCTAATGAATTTCCGATGGAAGTACAGGAAAAATAATAACGCTCATCTGTTGTGGCGAGAAAAAGTGAAGCTTTTCACTCTGAAAGTGTAAATTATGCTAATTGGTCAACAGATGATGTAACGGCCCTCCAAGACGCAAACTTCGGCGATGTCACCCGTGAGCGCCTCACCCTGTGAGAGGACAGGAGGTGCCAGTCTGGATTTCACCCAGCGAAGTTTCCCAATTAAGTAATCAAGAGACAAGAAAATGAAATACAAATGTGAAAAATGTATTGTTATTTTATCTGCTTCCTCTGCATGGTGTTCCTTCTTAATATAGCTCTGGAGAGTGGACTGTAGAGGGCAAGCCGGGGGGGTGATATCGGTGTGAGGGAACAGGAAACCCCCTCACAGTCTGGACACCCTCACGACCTCCTAGATACATAAACATGTCCAGGTTGTCAAACTGTAGTCCCTGGAGCCTAAATCCCCCCCCCATGGTACTTGCTTGCTCAAGCACCTGAGCGTGTGAGACATGTGATGCATGTCTGCTCTGGAGCAGATCACCCCTCCCCCCCCCAAGCCCCCTATTCTTTAGAGAATACCTCTGCCCTACGTGTGTGTGCTTATGTGTCATAGCCTGTGTTTTGGAAATTCTGTCTGAAGACCAGTGTGAGCCAAATGTTGTTGAATGAAAAAAGGGGACATGACTTAGTCACCCTCTACCTCCAACCAGTGAAAATGACACTGTCACCCTCTCTATCCAAATAGCGAAAATGACTCGGTCACCCTGTCCGTTCCTACAGTGAAAATGACCCAGTCACCATCTCAGGTCATGCAGCTAAAATGACTCTGTCACCCTCTCTGTTCTACAGTGAAAATGACTCAGTCACCCTCTCCATTCAAACAGCAAAAATGACTCCATCACCTTTGCCATTCCTACAGTGAAAATTACTCGGTCACCCTCGCTGTTCCTACAGCCAAAATGACACTGTTACCCACTTCATCCAAAGAGCAAAAATGACTTGGTCATCTGCATCGAAAAAATGAAAATGTCAGTCTCTCCATCCAACCAGCAAAAATGACTCGATCATCCTTCCCATTCCTACAGTGAAAATGATTTGATTACCTTCTCCATCCAATTGGCGAAAATGACTCAATCACCATTTCCATCCCTACAGCGAAAATGACTCGGTTACCATCTCCATCCAAACAGTGAAAATGACTCTGTTACCCTCTCCATCCAAACAGCAAAAATGACTCGGTCACCCTCTCCATACAAACAGCATAAATGACTCGGTCACCCTCTCCATCCAGACAGCATAAATGACTCGGTCACCCTCTCCATCCAGACAGCATAAATGACTCGGTCACCCTCTCCATCCAGACAACATAAATGACTCGGTC